GAGGGCTCAAGGACTACTGTCGGGGACCTAATACCGGGGTACCACAAAGAGGAGGAATCAATGAACCATCGAACGGTAAACACTCCCGAAAGCGCGGTTACATCTCTTGCCCGACCAAACGGAAGTCTTGTTCCGCCTCGCCCGAGCGCCCATGTGCCCTTGGGCCCGCTCTACCTCGCTCGATGGCTGGAGGGCGACTCCGCCTCGCCCGATGGCTGGGCTCGGCTTCACCCGACCCCCAGGGGATGCGCTCCGCCTCGCTCAACCCCCGAGGGCTGGGCTCGGCCCCGTTCGACGGCCGGGGGACGACTCCGCTTCGCCCGACGGGTAAAAACTAGGTTTTTACCTCATCCAAACGGCCAATGACGAATCTCGCCTCGCCCGATATTCAGAGGCTGGCCCAGTCTCACCTGACGAACCGCGCCCTGTACCCTCATGATGACGATTACAGGGTAAGACAAGACATTCGGGTCAACCGCAGCATTAGACGCCATGCCCTGCACCCCTGTAGGGAAGTACCGTCAGGATGTGACCAGGCGAGCGCTTGGACCCCTCCGGGCGTGGCAGAGCCTGAACAGTGTTGCGGGCGCTTGCTCTCCATCCTACAGTGTTGTAGGCGCCGCTCTCATCCTCCGGACGAAGAACCCGACGCAGACATACGACAACCACTACGTTCCAAGGGCAAACCAACAGTCACCGCGCCTCCCGACCCCCACGGGGTCGGGGCTCGACAAATCCTGTCCGACACGCCGCCCGCAGGGGCAGGATGGGACGTACCCACTTGCTAAACAGTGGCCGTGGCGTGGCCCACGACGGTCTACAATCGCCTCAATCCTGACACGATCTGCCATGATGGGCAGATCAGGCGTGTGGAAGAAGGAAGGACCGGGTTCCTCGAAGGACCTTCTATGCTCTTAGTGTTTTCTTCTTCCCCGTCTATAAAAAAACCCTGCTCCCCCTTGATCTATAAAAATGGAGGCAGGGTTCCCCACTAAGGGATGGATGAAAAACAGGTTAGCACACACACACATGCACCACACGCCCAAGCACCAACAGAGCTCTTGGCGTCCTTCCAATCACTCCATCAGGGACTTGGGGTCTCTCCCCCTTCCAACCGTTTGTACCCCCTACTACGAACCTCATTCGGTGCTAATAACACGAGCAGCAACAGACTGGACGTAGGGACATTCAGCCCGAACCAGTATAACCCTTGTGTCCATTAGCGCACCATCCGGGCCTAACGCGCATCAATTACAAATTTACTCGCCGGTGTTTGTTCGAAACACCGACACTTTGCATATCCATGGTAGCACTAGATTGACTTCCTGCTTTTGTATGCTTAGTGCTATACTTGGTGGTGAACTCTTTTTTTTTAAATTGCTCAAATTTGTTCAAACATGCTTAAAATGCCATATTTTGTCTCACTTGATCATTTTGAGCATTTGCTAATCATTTGACCTTGTTAATATATATACATGATAGCATCAACTAGCGCATCCTTTCAGTCTTGTTGCTATAATTGTGAAGCTTCTGCATTTGTCCATAGTTGCATTCATAGCATGATTTGAGGGGGAGATGCAATCTTTGGGCTCTAGCTTGATAAGTGCATATGTCAACAAGGGGGAGAAATATTGAACAAAGGGGGAGAAATTTTTAAAATCCACCCAAAGTTGAGAGATGCTTTCATTTGTGAGATTGCACCTGTTCAGGGGGAGTTGCACTCCGAGTTGCTTTTGCTAGATGTGTTGAGCCTTTGCCTCTTCTTGAGGGTCTAGCAATTTGCACCTGTTCAGGGGGAGTTGCACTTTGAGTTGCTTTTGCTAGATGTGTTGAGCCTTTGCCTCTTCTTGAGGGTCTAGCAATTTTCCCGTTTTTTTTTCTTCCTTTTCTTCTTCTTTGCTCAAGCTATTCGTGTGGTGGTGTTGACAATGCACTCATCAAGGGGGAGATTGCGAACACAAGGTTGACAAGTACCCTTGTGTGTTCGTTTTTGTGTGATGAGTGATTGATCAACGTGATCCACGAATAGGTTGAGTCGGTTACTAACTATACCATGGCGAAAGCTATGTGTGCATGTCTCTTGGCTCGTGGTGTGCAGGTGTGGAGCACGGAGGCGGTAGTTGACGGCGAGGTGAAGGTCAAGGAGGACGTGCGCTGTGCAACGGACCGGAGCAAGATGAAGGACGGACGTGAGGCTTGGACCGAGGGACCAGGAGGCCGGACGACTAGCCGCGGTGGCTGACACTTGGAACATCAACAAGTGCAAGAAGACATGGAGTGATGGTGTTGACCGGGTCAAGGCGTGGGCGCGTGAGTCGAGCGAGGCTCGGGAGGACTTGGCGGGCCGGCCGGTCGAGGGGCGGCGGTGACACGCGTCGGATGGCGGGGACGCAGTATGGAGTACGCTACCCATGGACAGTTCTGAGTTTGGGCCTTAAAACGGCGAGAGGTTCCAAGGAGAGGACGGACTGACGCGTGGCGTATAAAAGATCGGGAGTTTCACGTCGGCGTGGCTACCGGTGAAAAGGCGCGGTGGCCGTCGGATCAAGATTACACCGGATTGGACAACAACGTCTTTGGGCTTAGCGGTTCAACTCATTTGTATCTAGGAGCAAAACTGAGAATGTGTAATAGCCCTGTTAAATAGGACGAAGGAGCCCCATCTCCCTCACCTCTCTCCCATTCTCTCGTTCCCTCTTTCCACCTAGGGTTTCTTCTTCTAAGCACTCCTGAGAGAGGTCCCATGAGCTAAAAATTCGTGATATATTTTGGTGTGATTTGGTACTGGGAATAGAGGCCCTAACCTCTTTTTGTCCTCTGGATGTGGAAACCTGATGTGTGTTTGTGTTCGTGTTTTTCTTTTTCGCGAGTTACTGTTCACCGGTTTCCCCTTCTTGATTTGTGTTTTTCTGTGTGATTTGTTTGGTCCAGTTGATGCTTTGACGAGTGATGAACAATTCTACCAAGTGATTTGAATCAATTCCACTCGTGCATCGAGATCCAAGCCGATTTTCCTTTTGGGGAAAAACTCGTTCTTGCTCGAATTTCTTTGATTTTCAGAGTTACAGTTGAAATTGAGCGATGATTTCTCGGGAATAGCTCACTGATCCTCTTGTGATTTTGTGTACAAAATTTGGGAACAAATCATGGAGTTTGGAGCTGTTTTTCCTTGATTCTTGGGTCGCCCTTGTTTCTGTTCGTAACGCTCGGTCTGCTCGTTTTGTTCTTCGTACTCTGCCTTCAGGTCGACACTTCGATCTGGTGAGGGGAGCAGCGCAGACCCTGCTTGTCCCTGTAGCTGCTTCCAGCACATCTCTGGTTTCATTGAATCACCGGTCAAACATACTGCGAGGACACTGGTGCAGTCTGTTGCTGTGAGCGCCTGGGTGTTCGGTCTCTCTTTCTGTGTTCGTTCTGGGAATCAGTTTCTCGTCAGGGCTTCTACTGCTCGGTCTTGCAGGTGTGTCATCGAGCAGTTGCTTGCCATGGATTCCAGGTGCAAATACCCCGCAGAGCAGCAGCTGCTTGCATTTCTTCTCTGTGCAGATCAACTGAAATTTGCAGGTTCTGTCTAGCAGCAAGTGCTTGCCTTGATCGTGATTTTTGTTTCTCCATCTATTATTGTGTTGTCAGCCTCAGCTACAAGAAGTAATCACTGTATGGTCACCTATTTATTTCAAGTCAAGTGCAAGTGATTGATCATATTTCCTACAGTGAGCTCATGTTTGTTTTTGTTAGCAGCCCAAATGTTGGTCTATTTTTGGAGCTTGCTTCTCCTTCTGTAGCTTGGTTGTTTGAGCTCCGTTTCGTGTTCTGTCTGCTGCGTTGGCTTTCTACTGTTCCGAGGAATTTTAGTAGGTACTCTTGTCACTAGTTGGCTTGGGTATTTGAGTTCCGGAACTCGTTTGTGCTTGGTGGTGTTTTGGGACAGCGACCGAAAAAGTCTCGCGAGAAATTTTACGGCTCCCATTCACCCCCCCTGTCGCCTTTTCGGTCCTTCAGTGGGATTGTTTGACTCCTTGAAAACGAGGGTTACATTCTTTTCGGAACGGAGGTAGTATACGTTTACTTGATAGACACAGTTGCTAAAAAAGAAAGTCATCAGTATAGAATTCTTCTGTACATAGAGAGCGACTTTACACGGAGAATGAGTGTGACGAGGGCTATTGTCCGCCACCAATCCCTATGGCCCTATTATTCATACTCTACTCTCTCATCGACAGCTGGCCGACCATACCTTGGTGAGCAGAAGAAGGAACAGCGCGGCAGCTGCGTTGAGCAGCTTCCAACTCGTCAGATTCTTCCCCAACTCGTCTGATCACCACCCAGTAACTCTGGTCACATCGATCGGTGCGGCGGCAAAGAGAACAACAGGTAATAATGCCAGATTGATCCGTGTCAGCTTACGTTTCTATTTCACCTCTCAATTGGAGCTTAAATTGTGTCCATGAATACTACAGGAAGTAGGGAGCATCAGCACGGCAGTCAAAGACTGGACTGATTGATTTCATCCATTCCTGTCCAAATTAAAGGCTGCTGCTTTGGTAGAAAAATCCTCGGCTTCAGATTCAGGTATGCTTACCGCAATGACGTACCTCGATGCCAAATGTCGATGCCAGCAATTACTCAAGGCCAAACCACCTGCAAAGTGCAAAAAAATTCTTGTGTCGCCTTGTAGCATAGAGATCTTGTTCAAGCTTGTTCAGTCCGACTCCGGATTCTGAATGTTTCAGTTGCCGACTGAGCTGACCTTGTTCAGCATTTTTGTGATATATCTTCGTTTATCTAACTCTAACGAATAGGGATACATCAATGTAATGTTGATTTCTCGTTCGTGCTGTGCTTTCTGATTGGAATGATGCTTTCTGTTGACCTTATTATGGCCGGGGAGAAAAAACAAAAACCTGACTACTAATGCCGCTCCAATCTTTGTGTAGGATTGTGTGGGACAAGGATCAGCTAGCTGCTGTTGCCACTTGCCAGCAGGTGAATGTGAATCGATGGAGATCATGACCGGAGCGCTGGGCACCCTCCTTCCCAAGCTGGCCAAACTGCTGACGGATAGATACAAGCTTCAGCGACGCCTCAGGGGCGAGATCATGTTCCTGAAGGCAGAGCTGGAGAGCATGCAAGCAGCTCTTGAGAAGGTGTCAGATGCTCCGGTAACTGACAACCAGGTGAGGATCTGGGCCCGGGACGTGAGAGAGCTGTCCTACGACATCGAGGACAGCATCGACAGATTCATGGTGTGCGTTGACACTGATCCATCAGCACCAGCAGAGCTACATGGATTCAGGGGTTTCATTCAGAGGAGTTTGAAACTGCTGACGACTGCTAACACCCGCCATAGGATCGCCAAAGATATCAGAGGCATCAAGGTGCTCGTCAGGGAGGTGGCTTCAAGGCGCGATAGATACAGCACTGACAGCAGTGTCTCTTCCATCAGATCTGCCGCCACAGCGACAGTAGTTGATCCCCGTTTAATTGGTCTCTATGAAGAGGCTAGAAAACTTGTTGGCATCAGTGGCCCACAAGAAGAGCTAAAGATGCTGATGGAGCCAGAGGCCACATCATTGGAGGATGGCCTGAAAGTAATCTCCATTGTAGGAGTTGGTGGTTTGGGTAAGACAACACTTGCAAATGCTGTGTATCAACAGCTTAGGGGACAGTTTGACTGCCATGCTTTTGTATCAGTGTCTCTTAGACCTGATTTAAACAGGATTCTCAGCAGCATACTCCGTCAAGTTAGTGAACAACATTATTGCAGCACTGAAACGTGGCCTGTGGAGGAAATTATTGACAAAATCAGATTATTCCTTGATGATAAGAGGTACATATATAAATCATAAAGTTCCGGTGTATAGCTAGTGTAAGCCAAATAAGGTTACTAAAGGAAACAATCCAATAGTATTTCAATTTTCATATGACATTGCTAGTTACATAGGGTTAGTTTTACTGGTAACCATTCCTGCATTGTGAATGGGCAATTGTAGGTTCCTCATTAACTGTGTACATTAGTGAGGAATCTACAATTTCCCATTCACAATGCAGGTATGGTTACCAGTACTAACCCAATCTAGGCATTAGCTTTCTCATCAGGAGTTTGTTTCATTTTATATTTCACCTTACTTTGATGAAGTTATATTATGTTATGATGAAACCACAGGTACATTATTATCCTCGATGATATATGGGACATTTCAGCATGGAAACACATCAAGTGCGCATTAGTTCACAACTGTGGTAGTAGAATAATCACAACAAGCCGTGTACTAGATGTTGCAACATCTTGCTGCTCAGAGATTGATGGTACCATATATAAACTAAAACCTCTTTCCGATGATGATTCAAAGAAGTTGTTCTTCAAGAGAATATTTGGGTCTGAAAATGGTTGTCACTCAGAACTGAAGGAAACATCGGAGAAAATTTTAAAGAAATGTGGTGGAGTTCCATTAGCCATCAACACAGTAGCCAGCTTATTGGCAAGTAAACCAAGAAATATCAACCAATGGTACAATGTCCATAATTCTATTGGTACAGGACTTGATAAAAGCCCTAGTGTGGAGAATATGAGGAAGGTATTATCTATTAGTTATTATGGTTTACCTGTCCATCTAAAACCTTGCTTACTGTATCTAAGTATATTTCCAGATGATTACAATATATCAAGAGATCAATTGATACGTAGATGGATATCTGAGGGCTTTATACCAGGAGAAGATGTGGTTACCTTATATGAACTTGGTGGAACATATTTCAATGAACTCATTAACAGAAGCATGATAGAACCAGAATACATCGACACTCATGGCAGTATACTAACTTGTCGTGTGCATGATATGGTACTTGATCTCATTGCATCTTTGTCATATGAAGAAAATTTTTCGACCACAATACCTTCTAAGCAGTCAACATACTTTCACAAGAAAATGCATCGGTTATCCTTTCAAAGCAATGCAGAAGGACAAGCCATACCGAAGGCAATTAAGTTGTCTCATTTGAGGTCACTCATTGTCTTCCCTGGTTCTGCTAACTTACTGCCTCCTCTCTCAAGCTTCCATCTATTGCGAGTACTGGATTTTGAAGGCTGTCATGATTTAGAAAGTTATCAAATTGATGGTCTTGGCAATTTGTTTCATTTGAGGTCCCTAGTACTAAAGGATACAAATATTGCAAAACTCCCAAAAGAAATCGGTAAACTTCGTTGTCTGCAGACATTGGACTTAAGGAAAACTAGCATAAGTGAACTTCCATCAACAGTTGTTCAGCTAAGACAGCTAGTGCGACTGCACGTTGACAAGTCAGTGATGCTACCATCTGGGTTTGGGGCCATGAAATCTCTGCAGGTCCTATCATATATTGGTGTCTGCAAAACCCCGAACCTAATAACAGAGCTAGGTAACTTAAATGAACTGAGGATTCTCCACATTTCACTTAGTGGTACAAGGCATATGAATTGTGAGAAACATTTAACTGATTCATTGAGTAACCTGGAAAAACTCCATGAACTGTGTATTTTAGGTGGCTTCTTATCCAAATTGTCAATGTGGATAAATTCCTCTCTCTTATGCCTCAACACCTTAGACATGAAGCTCAAAACACTAACACAAGAAGATTTCGAAAATCTTGGGTCCTTGTGGTGTTTGCTTGATCTCCGTCTTATGGTGCTCAAAATTGAACCAGAAAAGTTGGTTATTGGAATTGATCATGAAGAATTCCAGTCTCTAGTTAAGTTCTCGTTTGTCAGTAATGCAATGAGGCTGCTATTTGCACAGAAAGCTATGCCAAGGCTTGAAAACCTTGAGCTTGGCTTTAGAGTTCAAGAGACTAAGGATTTTGATCTCGGCTTGGAGAACCTCTCTTCTCTGAGGTGTGCTATGATAAGAATTGATTGTGGGACTTCCAATGCATGTGAAGTAGAGCGGGCTGATGCTACTATTAGGAAGGCCGCATTTGTGAATCCGAATCACCCTAGACTTGATATATTCAGGCATTTTGAGGCTGTTTTGATACGGGATGATAGGAAGCTACAAATCCCAGATGAAACAAGGAAAACAGAAGAAGAGGTAACATTTTCTCTTTAACCAAAAGTAACCTAAAGTCTAAAGCTTATATCAAATGGTGTGCAATTCACTTGTACTTTCACTATGGTAGTGATGGTGAGTGATTGACTTTGCTAAGTAAGATGGCAACAACTAGAAGAGAGGGGGTGCAAAGACTTCAGTGCTAGCAAGTAGCGAAGGAGGAAACATGTGGTAGGAAGCTGTCATATGGATGCTTTGTGTGGCCAAGGGTAGCAATGCTGCTAGTACGGAAATAGCATTCTCATAGGGATGTGATGTGAGACTTTGAAAGAGGGGGAGGCGTGAAAGTTTTATGTGTGAGGAGGTTGGCGTTGAAAAAGCTAGGGGTGGGGTGGATGATACAATAGTGAGGGAATATAAATTATTGTTTGTGGTATTAATCAGTCCAAAACATCATGTTAAACATAATTACGAGCATTAAATATTCCTCTTGTTTCAAATGTGGCTTCACCATGCAGGCTATGGTTTCAAAAATGGGCCCATGGGGTGGAAATGGTGGTGATACTTGCGACATCAAGGTGATACCACATCATTTGGAAAGTGTGATAATTTGTAGTGGTACAATTATCGACGCGCTTGCATTTTCTTACTGGGATAGAAACGGGCACCGGCACACAACACAATTTTGGGGTGGCATTCTTGGGAATGTCCAAACGGTGAGTAAACTTAACAAATGATGCAAGGCAGACATGATGCATGGTATCTTTTTCATTCTTGGCTTAATTCGAATAATTCAAAACAAGTATTCAAAAATTTCAGGCTGTTATATTGTTTGGCCGTTTTAATAAATGTGATGGAGTGGATCTTCCTTTTGTTTAGAGGCTGTTTTCATAAAACTGCTCAAGCTAGCTACGGATTTATGCAATAATTATTATTTAGTGTTTAAGATAGACACATGAAATAACTTTATGTTCTCCTTGTAAAACATATTCTTAACTGGTTGGTACAATTAACTTTCATTTATCTTGTGCAGATCGTCCTTGGCACTTCAGAATATCTCATGGAAGTTTCTGGGACAACCGGCCCATTCAGTGATGTATCAGAGGTTATAACATCACTTAAGCTTGTGTCCAATGTACGTTGCTATGGGCCATTTGGGGAACCACGAGGTACTCGATTCTGCTCTCGAGCAAAGAAAAATAGTAGCATTGTTGGATTCTTCGGGCGCTCAGGGAACTACCTTGATGCAATTGGTGTCTACTTTCATCCCATCTGAACATTATCTATCTTGATGCAGATGATGTTTTCTTCTTTTTGGTATATATCCTAAAAATGATGTCAACCAGGATTTGAGCTTTGCAGGCTTATATTTCAAATAATCTTTCCTAGTTACTTTTTTAATTCACTTATTCAATCAGGATCATTTTATGTTGCAAACTTGCAATATTATATGTACAATGATAATTGCCATATAACTAAATGCCAGGAAAGCACCAGATATAAGCTTTTACCAATTCTATACGAGTCAAAAATCACAAACTTATTTTTCCAGTACAAAGGAGGTATTAGAATCCTTAGTATTATCTAAGTACCTTCACTTGTAGAAGGCCTAAGTTAGACTTGGAGCCATGCTAAAAAATAGATAGGAATTAGTATAAGCAGAGTGATTCAATATATGGAAAAGATGCCGACGCGCTTTCAGGCCATAAGAACAAACAAACAAACAAAAAGATGTAAAGAAATGAAGGAAGATGGCTCCAAGGAAAGTGTAACACCCCAGAAGAAACCACAACAGTCCTCTAGAGAATTACCACATTACACTACAACAACGGAGTACGCGGAAGCAACAAACATCATCTAAGTTGAACATTAAATTAAGTCTTCTATCATGACATAAACAAAGACAGCTTCAACAACAACTAGCAAACCTCAGGTGTTTATTACAATGTAAGGAAACAACCAACTAATTTGTTTGAACAATTATGTTTGTTTGAAGTATATGTCAACAGGTGTGTACATGTGCTACTACTCCCATCCCACCAATCATCCTTGAAGCTCATGTACATGAGATTGGGAACAAGCGTATGAGGTTTATGGAAAACCTCAGCAAGCAAACTGCCTTAACTGAGTTATTTAAATCACAGCTTGTTTAAGCATCAAATTTAAATAGCATTATAAAGATACATCAATTGCTTCATAGAAATATAAATATACTTCAAAGTATAAGTGCAAATGATGCAATGCAATGTATGACTTCACTTCTACCCACACATCCCAAGGAGAGGGTGTGAGGGCTGCAACCACATTGCTCATCAACGTGCGTTGCTGTACCAGTACTTACCGCACCAATTCGGCTACGGTTTCTTTCAAATGCATATCAATGGAAAAAGTGCAAAATGCAAATGTTGCAATGTATGCACTTCATGTACTTCATAATTCAAAAGTAATACCACAAGATATGAAATAATATACTTCAAAGTAAAGCAAAAACTTCATATTTTAGATTATATGGCTAGTGTGAGAAACTAAAATTTAGTAGATTATATCGCCTAGTGTGACGCAACCATGGTGGTGCCCGGGGCAGCGGCACGACCCGCGCCATCGACGGCTCAAGCGACGGTGCCCAACGTGGGCTGGACGGAGGGGGATGCGACCGAGGGGTCCCCGGACATTGTGGTGGTGGGAGAGAGGTCGGCGCCCGTACCGCTGACCCCTTCCGTCGCTGGAGGGGGTGTCCTAGTGGGAACGTCGTGGCAAGAGGGCTCGGCGGCGCCTGGAGTCGGTGGGGAGTCATCTCTGTCCCTGACGTCGATAGGCGGTGACTCGCCTGCGCGGGGCGAACCCCTGTTCTGGTGGACAAGTCTAGAGGACCCGGCGTCGACGCTCTTCAGCCTCGACTCCACCGCCGAGAGCAGGGAGCGGGAGAGCCTCGACATGGGAGTCTCGTCCGTGCTTGAAGCTCTGGACCATGCCCGGAGTGCCTTGGCCGACATTGTTGTTCTCGCTGGCCGGGTACTTGCTTGATCTTGCTTCTTGCTTTTTCCTTTCTCCGCATATTTTTGTATTCTGACCATCGTCTCCTTTCAGTCCCTCATCGCTCGTAGCTGGGGGAAGTCGCGGTTCCTTCATGAGTAGAAGGGAACCTGGGACTGCCTCGTGAGGAGGCACGGCTGTGCGAGGATGCGACGGCTCAGCTTTCTGTCGCCTAGTAGGTGGCTGAGCTGACTCCCCTTGCCGAGGAGTCGGACAGTCTCCGGTCGTGGGTGGCCGAGGCCCATCGGCATGTGGACGAGGCTGAGAGGGCGTTTAAGGCCCTATCGGCTAGGTCGCGGAAGGATGACGAGGTGGCCACCAAGGTTAGGAGGGAGCGGGACGAGCTGCTCTAGAAGGACACTGAGACCCACCGGCGGATCCTCGACCTTCTGGTCGAGGTTGAGAAGGAGCGGGAGCTGAAGCTGGGAGCCAAGGAGAAGCCCGCGGCCCTGGAGAAGAAGGCGAGTCTAGACACTGCGGTGGTCGCCCGGCTGCGCAAGGAGCGAGACGAGCTGCTCCAAACCACGGAGAAGCTCTGCTCGGAGTGTGGCACAGCTCGTGAGGAGCATGACTAGGCCCTTCGAGAGCGCGATGACGCACAATACAAGATCGACTCCCTCTAGGCCGAGCTTCGAACCGCGACGACCTAGAGGCAGGAGGCCGAGGGCATCTCTACCGGGCTGGCCGCGGACCTCGCCGAGGCGAGGAGGAACCTTCAAGCGGAGAGCGACGAGCTCGGTATCCTGAGCGTCGCCCTCGGAGTGGTCTGCAATGACCTGGAGGTGGTGCGGTTGGAGGGGACCAGTTCGCTCACGGCCCGTGCCGTCAAGATCACGGCGCGGTTGCGCCAGCTCGAGAGGGACGCCCTTCGCGCTGGGGTCAACCAATCCTTTGTGATTGCTCATTCTCATTATGGGGATAGCATTGACTTGGAGACGATGAGCCTCGGCTTCACGCCTGGCTACGAAGCCCATGACCTGGATGAGATAGAGACGGTGGTGGCTCCCCTTTCGCGGAACCTGGCGGACAAAATAGAAAACATAGTTCTCCCCCGGAGGGGTTAGTTAGTCAGATAGGTCGTGTAATCGTTCATGTAACAAGAAGACAAGCTCCGACCCTTCTGTACTATCGGACAAACTTATCATTTTATTTTTGTTTGATTTAGTTTGTTTTTCCACCCTTTTTATGTGTGAAAAGGAGTTTGTGTGTTCTGACCCTTCCGTTTGTTAAGACCGTAGGGCCCGAGGTGCAAGGGGGAAACTATAATTACACTGGTAAGCAAGAGTGCCGTAGCCGCAAGGGCATAGGTTTCTCGTAGTTCGACCAGCCATGCTCAATCGTTTGTTTCCGTAGACCTTGCCACTAGGTTTAACGTGAGGGAAAGGTTGGGTGCGGTGACTGTTTCAGAAATGGTGTATTTATGCCCTTATCAGCCCCCGAGTGAGGCCCGACACCTTGCGATTGCTGGGGTCGGGTTTCACTGAAGATCGAGAAGATAGCGAAACTAGTAGGAGATAGCGTCTCTTGTTTTCGCACGTACTTCCCCCCTTAAGGTTCTAAGCCATCGTTCTACGACCGCGTGTTCGGTCTCCTCGCGAATCTAACTTTCCTCAAGCCCCCCGCGCATAACAGGGGTTCGGTCGAGGGTGGGCTCGCCTTTGTGATTGTCACCCCGTCCGTGGTTTGCGCAACTAGAGGGGTTGAGCTAACGTCACTTGCCTCGATGGCCCGAGTGGCACGCTCGGTGAGCTCGCTAACGGGCATGTTCGAGTGGAATCCGGGTCCATTGTTCGTGGCGGGGTCAGCAAAGCCCTCATGTGGCATTCCACTGTGCCTTAACCCGCCTTCCAACAGATGCCCCCTCAATGGGGCTTCTATGGGCTCGGCTGGAGGTCAAGATCGAACGAGAAGGCCGAGATGACCCTGTCCGCTTCTAGGTGGGTCGGGCGAAGGCCGCTGGAGCTCATCTGCATTTTCTCCCCTGGCTCTTGTTCAATGCGAGGCGGCCTCGGGCCCTCCGCAGGTCGACATTCGAACCCCTGTCCCCCGATTTTAGAATCAGGTGGCTCGGGCCCTCGAGCCCCGTGAAGCTCGGTAGGGGTCGGCCGTGGTTCATGCGTCACCCCATCCTTGGTTTCCGCAACCGGAGGGGCTAAGCTAATGACACTTGCCTCGATGGCTCGAGTGTCGCGCACTCGGTGAGCTCGCTAACAGGCATGTTTGAGTGGAATCCAGGCCTGTCATCCGCTGACGGGGTAGACATAGCCCTCATGTGGCATTCCACTGCTCCTTAATCCACCTCCCGGCAGATGCCCATGTCACTCTGGAGAGCGACCTAGGTGGCCCGTTGGCCTCTCCTCGATGGAGATTCTGTGCGCTTGGCTCGAGCTTAGAATCGAACGAGAAAGGTCGAGATGTCCCTGTCTACTTTCGAGCGGGGTCGGGCAAGGCCGCTGGGGCTCATCTGGGTTTTTCTCCCCTGGCTCTGTTTGACGCGAGGCGGCCTCGAGCCCTCCGCGGGCTAGCCTTCGAGCCTCGGTCGGTCGCCGCTCATATCGAATGAGACGACTACCGCTTCATGACGCGACACGAAGCGTTGTGATGCAGCAATTGCATATGCAATGCCCAGATGTATGTGATGAATGAATGGATGAATGAATGAATGTATGAATGAAAAGTATGAATGTCTGCAGGAGAATGGATGAATAAATGATCGTGCAATGGAACAAGAAAGGTGGGGGTCGATAAAGTTACCTTGATGGCTTGAGTGACGGGTTCAGGAAGCTCTTACCAGATATGTCTGTGCGGGGTCCGAGTCTGATGTTCATGATGGAGCCGACGTAACCTGCATGAGGCATCCCTATTTTTCGTACCCATCTCTCGGTAGCGGCCCAAACCGTCCGATCGACCTAGGCGACCTGCTGGCCTCTCCTCGATGGAGATTCCACAGGTGGGGCCCTCCGAACCCTTCCCGAGAAGGAGGAGGCTAAAGCTTGAGGTACGGGGACAAAGACCTAGATCACGCTGGTGAGCGAAGATGCCGTAGTCGTTGGGGCGTAGGTTTCTAGTGGTCTGACCAATTTTACTCAGAGTTTGGTTCCGCACGCCTTGCCTCTAGTTTTTTTAACGTAAGGAGGGGTCGGGCATAGGGAATGTCTACCGAATAGACACTCTTGCCAGCCCCCGAGCGATGTCCGACCCCTGCCGTTGCTGGGGTTAGAGGCTCGGTAGTGAAATTAATGC